AAATGTCCAAAATAGTCAGAATGACAAAGCAGGGAGGAGGGTGGAATCGTAACAGATGGATGAATAAATGAATGGGGTGGGGTGATGCAAAAAAAAAAAAAAAGAATTTGGTATGGTGAGTAGCAGGAAAAGCAAATTGTGGCAAATATAAACTATCATTAGAAGGATGGAAAGCTAATATTGACACAACAATTGTACATGCTTACCAGCTATGACCAATGCAGTGCATGTGCAGGTCAGAAGTGGCATGATCAAATAAATTAACAGCAATGGTGAGTAATTAAAACATGATGACAGTATGGAATGCATATCATTTCAGGATGCTCAAAATGCAAACTACTTACCAGGAGGGGGTCAGCCTAGGAGCCTATCAATCTCTTTTCTAATAAAAATAGCCACTCCGCAAGGGATTCCATCAGCTTGCAACCCTTCTTCAGTGAGGTCTGGCAGATGTTTGCCCTTGATTCTGTTGTCTCTCAAGATATTTTTATCACTGTCAAGCAGATCAGAGTCATGATCGACTGACTCAAAATGGGCAATGACTTGTTCAGTGTTCCATGCCCTGATCTCTTCAAGGGATGGAATCAAAAGTGGTGCAGAGCTGGATGCCATTGAGACAAATGAAGGAGGAAACAAATGTAAGTGGGTCAGACTGTGTGGATGAATGGAACAATGACCAGAAAGAGCAGGCTGAAAAAAAACACACCGCTGCCTTTGTTGTATGTCATCACTCCAAGCCACAAATTTGGAGTGCAGAGCTATGCTTCATTCAGCAATGCATCTACTGCAGCTAAAACCTGAATAAAGACAATTTTCCAGGTCCCTTGCAAATTCTCCTGCAAACCAGGGTCAACTCACCACCTAATTTGCAGCCACTGACACAATTACCACCAGTGAAAAGAAAAAAAAGCAGGAAATAGGACATTTATATAAATAAAGAAACAATTTTGCAGTCATATAAGTGATGGGCACTTTGGTAGTACATAGTCAACCTTGTTAATCCGAACATTGTTAATCCGAATTTCTCGTTAATATTAATCCGAAGAAATATTCTGGTCCCGTTTATTAATACAGTGAGACTCCTCTAAATGCATCTCCTCTAAATGCATAACTCCTCTAAATGCATACTTTTGTCTGGTCCCG